TCTAGTGCCACGGCCTCTTCTAAATCCAGCCTGCACTTCAGGCAGTTCTCTGTTGGTGTGTTCTAGTCGTTTTTGGATAATCTTCAGCAGAATCTTGCTTGCATGCGATATCAATGATATTGTTCGAGAATTTCCACACTGTCAGATCACCTTTATTTGGAATGGGAACAAAGATAGATGTTAGCAAAAAGAATAAGACTCTAGGAATTGATGAAAAACCTATTGACATGTTTCAACAAACAGATGCAGCCCTGGACATGCTCACTATTCTGTGCCGGGAAATTTGGACGACAGCTACTTGGCCAACTAACTGAAGAGATCCATGTTTGTTTCCATTCACAAAAAAGTTGATACAACAGAATGTGGAAATTATTGAACAATATCATTAATATGATATGTAAGTAAAATCTTGCTGAGTATTATTAAAAAATTACTTCTGGCAGTTCAAGCTGGATTTAGAAGAAGTAATGATACCAAAGATAGCATTGCTGATAACAGATTGATCTTGGCTGAAAGCAGAGAGTACCAGAAGAACGTCTTTCTGTGTTTTATTGAGTATGGGAAAGCATTTGGCTGTGTGGATCATAACAAATTATGGCTAACATTGAGAAGAATGGGAATAACAGAATACCTAGTTGTGCGTATATAAAACCTATAGAAGGCTGTTTCCAAACAGAACAAGGTAACAAGATAGGGTTTAAAATCAAGAAAGGTTGCATGTTTCCCCCATACTTATTGAATATGTATGCTAAGCAAATCATTCGAGAAGCTGTACTTTATGAAGAGGATTGTGGCATTAGGATTGGAGGAAGACTTGTCAAAAACCCGTGTGATGCAGATTACACAATTTTGCTTACTGAAAATAAAGAATACTTGAAACATTCTACAGAAGATCAAGGACTGCAGCCTTCTATATGGATTGCATCTCAATATTAAGAAAGCAAAAATCCTTACCACTGGGCCAACAGGGAATATTATGATAGCTGGAGAAAACATTAAAATTGACATTGTTTTCATCTTGCTTGTCAACACCCTGGACACCAATAGTCAAGAAATCAGAAGATATGTTGCATTGGGGAAATCTGCTGTCAAGGACATCTACAAAGTACTAAAGAGCAAGGATGTCACTTTAAAGAGTAAGGTCCATCTGATTCTATTCATAATCTTGTCAATTATTTGCTGTGCATCTGAGAATTTGACAATGAATAATGACAGAAGAAGCAGCCCTGCCTTTGAGTTGTGGTGTTGGATAAGAGTACTGAATAGCTCACAGACTGCCAAAAGAATGAATCACAACATCTTGGAGAAAGTACAACCATGGTGTTCCTTAGAGGCAAGGAGGTAAAACTTCATCTCACATACTCTGGGCATGCTGTTGTTTACAGAAATTAGTCCTTGGAAAAAGACTAAGGACTAAGACTAATGGAAAGGCAGAAGATCACCTAAAGAGAGGAAGACCCTCAGCCAGTTGGATTGTCATAGTGACTATGAGAATGGGACTAAGTATATCAAGGATCATGAGGATGGCACAGGATAGGGGAGGGTTCAGGGGTGTTGCACATAAGGTTGCTATGATTTGTATTTGTCTCAATAGCATCCAACAATAACAACCCAGAAAGAGAGTTTTCCTTTTCCTTTCATGACTTGAATGCCTTTTATTTCTTTTTCTTGCCTAATTGCTCTGGCTAGGACTTCTAATACAATGCTGAATGTTGTTACTGTTGGCAGGTGCTTTCAATTCAACTGTAACTCATAGCAATCCTGTGAACAACAGATCAGAACCTTGCTCTATCCTGTGCTACCCTTACAATCTCTGTCATGCTGCAGCCCACAGTTGCAGCCAATCCATCTCCTTCAGGGTATTCCCTTTTCCTCTGACCCTCCAATTTTCCAGCATGACTTATTTTTCCTGACAATATGCTCTAAATATGAAAAGATGAAGCTTCACCATCCTTGCCTCTGGATGCACTTCCAGGGCACGCTGGACCAAGACAGATTTATCTGCTCTTCTGGCAGTCCATGGGATGCTCAATACTTCCCACCATTCACCAACACCACAATTCAAAGCCGAAGAGTCTTCTTTGGTCTTTGTTATTCATGGTCCAACTTCCAAATGCATACGAAGGAACTGAGGGCCAACCCTGTGCGTTGTGCAGCTGCCACTGCCCCAGAAAATGTCGTCATCTCGCAGACACACACACACACACTCAAAAACATACACAGAGACACAGAAAGACATGTAGAGACATGAGCATATAAACACATTCATACACAGATACACTCACACAAACACTTAGACACTTAGAAAACACATCCAGATACTCTCAAAGACACACACAGATGCAGACACAGAGGAATTCAGAGACACACACAGACTCATCGACACACTCAGATACGAGACACATCACACGCTCTGAAACTCAGACACATTCACACACATAGTGAGCACAGCCCCGATACCATCACTAGGATCTTGGCATCTTCGACCCTAACAGATGCTGTGTCCAGCTGTCCACTCCTGACCTCCAACCTCAGCCCACTGTGGCTCCTGTAGGTCCACAAGATAACGCCAATGGACTCAGGACCCCGCTGGAGCCTCAGGCTTGCCCCTTGCCTTCCTGACTTCCCACCTTTGCCCACCAAGATGCCACCAGGACACTCCTGGGCTTTGAGATCTTTCTCCAGGCCACCACTTTCCCCAAGCGGAAACCGAATGTCCGTGTGTCTGCACATGTGTCATGTGTGGTGGCATGTATGGATCACTCTGTCTGAGCGGGGTCCTTGTGGAGTCCCTCTTGTGAGCCTCGTGCCTGCAGGTGGGGAGACATACCACAAACCTCAGAGATGGTGGAGGTTCATGGAGGGTGGGCGGCCTCAGACCCAAACTGTCCCTCCCTATTTGTCAGGGGGAACCCCTTTGCGGCCAAACTGCAACGGCTACAGGAAGCCTTCAAGTCCGGGCGGACACGGGCTGCTGAGTTCCGGATCGCGCAGCTCGAAGGTATAGGCCGATTTCTGCAGGATAACAAGGAACAACTGGAGGATGTGCTGATGAAAGACCTGCACAAGGTGGGCGGGGAGGGGCTGGAGGGGGGCGGGACTAAGAGCCGAGCTAGGGCGGGGCGGGACCCGGGAGAGGCGGAGTCTGACATCTGGTGGGGCGGGGAGGGACCCAGGAGAGGCGGGGTCTGAGGCCTGGTGGGGAGGGGCAAGACCCGGGAGAGGCGGAGTCTGAGGCCTGGTGGGGCTGGGAGGGAACCGGGAGGGACGGAGGGATGTGTTGGGGGCGTGGCATGGGCGTGGCCAGGTTGAAAGCAGAACTGGAGTGGAGCGAGGCTGAGAGCCTGGCGGAGGTGGGCGGGGCAAAAAGGTCTAACTTTGGGGGCTTGGCATAGGCGTGGCCAAGGCCTAACTATGGGCCTGGTAAGTTGATGCATGGGCGTGGCCATGGACTGGAGTGGAGCAGGGATTGGAGCCGGGCTGAGGTGGGCGGGGCAGGGTTGAGAACTGGGCTGGAGTGTAGTAACAAAGCCAAGTTGAGGTGGGCAGGGCCTGGGCGGGGCTAAAAGCGAGCTTGGATGGGCGGGTCAAGGGAGGGTCGGGGCCTACAGTGAAGTGAGGCTCAAAGGCAGCTGAGGTGGGCGGAGCCTGGGCCCTACGGAGAGCGGAACTCGAGAGGGGAGGGGTCTTGGGGGCGGAGCCTGAGTGCTGAGGTGGAGCTAGGCTGAGGAGGGCGGGGACTGGGCGGGGCTTGATAGCTGGGCTGGGGAGGGGAGCCTGAATGAGACAAGGCGTGAGGGGAGGGGCAGGACAGGGCTGAGTGGGATAGACTGGGTCTTCCCACCAGTGGCTGCATCCTTAGTGGAATTCCTGTTCCTTCTGAGGTTAATCTGTCCTTCTAGGGTATTTTGCTAAATTATTTCATTCACACAGCCACCACTGTGGCAGTGCTCTGGACCCTCTCTGCCTGCACCAGCCAGCTGGACTGCTGTGTGGCTTATGCTGTCCTTCTCCACCCACTACAGTCGGCCTTGGATTCAAACATATCTGAGCTTATCATGTGCCAGAATGAGGTGGACCTGGCCATCAAGAGCCTGCACTGCTGGATGAAGGATGAATCAGTGTCCACAAACCTGGTGAGTCCTGGGGACAGATAGCTCAGTGGGTAAGTGCCCCACTAATAACCAAAATGTCAGCAGTTCAAACCTACCAGCCTCGGGAGAAAGATGTGCCAGTCTGTTTCCTCCTTGGAAACCCTAGGGTCAGTGATTCTGTCCTGCAGGGTCATTGTGAGCTTGAATTGGCTCCATGCAGTGGTGGATAAGGACAAAGGGATAAGGAGGGCTGGGAACCTGTGCATTGGCAGCTGCAGTCCAGGTCCCCTGGCCACCAGCCCCTGTGCCCCAGGGGCATATCACTGGAGCTGGTATGTGGGAAGAACGGGGTGTTCTTCTCGGACTCACCATCCTTCCTGAACCCCAGTTCACAAAGCTGAGCTCGGCTTTCATCCGGAAGGAGCCCTACGGTGTGGTCCTCATCATCGCCCCCTGGAACTACCCCCTGAACTTAACACTGGTGCCGCTGGTGGGTGCCCTCGCTGCAGGTGAGCAGAGGGCTTGGTAGCCCTCAAGAGCCTCCCTGACTCTGTCCCCTGCTCTGCTGTCTGTATAGCCTCAGATGGAGCCGAGGCACCCCCTCCCCTCTCTGCCATTTGCCTGCAGGAAACTGTGTGGTGCTGAAGCCCTCAGAGGTGAGCAAGAACATGGAGCAGTTCCTGGCCAAGGTGCTGCCTCGGTACCTGGACCAGGTGAGCATGGCCTGCCCCGTCAGTCCCCATGCCCTGACCTTGCCAGCAGGCGGGGGGAGGGGTGCCCTCGGGGCCTGCATCCCTCCTGAGAGACCCTACGCCCACCCTTTGCAGAGCACCTTCACGGTGATGCTGGGGGGCCCAGAGGAGACGACACAGCTGCTGGAGAACAGGTTCGATTACATCCTTTTCACAGGTGAGTGTGGCCCATAGAAGAGCTGTGGAGGTTTACTAGGGGGACAGTGGAGAACAGGGAAGGATTGTGGACGTAGAAGGTATGGTGAGGGGGTATATCAGGACACAGGTGGAGAAGGGTCCTGGGGAGAGGAGAGACAGGTGTGTGCCCAGGCCCATAGAGGGTGAGGTCTCTTCCTGTGTCTCCAGGGAGCCCCCATGTGGGCAAAATCATCATGACCGCTGCTGCCAAACACCTTACGCCCGTCACGCTGGAGTTGGGGGGCAAGAACCCCTGCTATGTGGATGATGACTGCAACCCACAAACCGTGGCCAACCGCGTGATCTGGTTCCGATGCCTCAACGCTGGCCAGACCTGCGTGGCCCCGGACTACATCCTGTGCAGCCGCGAGATGCAGGACCGGCTGGTGCCCGCCATGCAGAGCGCCATCACCCGCTTCTACGGCGACGACCCCAAGAGCTCCCCGGACCTGGGCCGCATCATCAACCAGAAACACTTCAAAAGGCTGCAGGGCCTGCTGGACTGTGGACGTGTGGCCATCGGCGGCCAGAGTGATGAAACGGAGCTTTACATCGGTGAGAACTGATGGCAGGGTCTGGGGCGCAGGGCCATGGGGGAAAGGAGACACAAGGGGTGCAGAAGGACACTCGAGTACAAGCCCTGGAGACGGAGCCCCTCTCACACTGGAGGGACCAGACCTTGAGTTTGGGATCCCTTGTCCTCAGCACTTCCACCCCTCATACCAGTGTGTTCATTTCCACCAGTTCTGACCTACTAGTGCCCAGAACACCTGCTCTGTTTCATAGGACCGTCCAGCTCCACCCCTAGTCCCAAAGAACCCAGCACTCGGGACTGATGACCCTGGCTGGACCAGACCCCTCAACTCCTCTCTGGAGCTCCCCTGGCCTCCTAGGTCCCCGAGTCTCCCCAAATGCCCTCAGCCCTGGCAGGTGGGGACCCGGCTGAGCGCGTGCTGTGCCGCAGCCCCCACGGTGCTGGTGGACGTGCAGGAGACGGAGCCCGTGATGCAGGAGGAAATCTTCGGGCCCATCCTGCCCATCATGAACGTGCAGGGCCCGGATGAGGCCGTGGACTTCATCAGAAGGCGGGAGAAGCCCCTGGCGCTGTACGCCTTCTCCAATGACAGCGAGGTGAGTGGGGATTGGGGCACAGAGGGGCAGAGTGGGGAGACAGGCCTTGCTCACCTGAGAACCCCAGGTGACAGTCCCAGCCATGTGGTAGAGTGTCTGCGTGGGTAACTAGCTGGCAGAGGGTCCTCCAGGTGTATCCATCTGCCCTGACTGGAAGAAGAGGTGCTGGGCCTGCCCAGAAAGGCCCCTATTCCTGCATTGTGCAGAAGTGCCAGCCAGGGACCAGAGGCCCTTTTGAGGAGTAAGCTCAAAGCCTAGCCGGAGGCTGAGTGGACAGGCACATTGTTCGGTACTCACTACCATTGCCGTGTCCCCATCACGGACTCAGCAGCCAGGGTGCAAGGCTTCCTCCATCACTGAATCATGATCTCAATAGCCACTGAAACTCCCAAGGCCCCAGGCAAGAACATGAGGGTGAGGTGTGTGTGTATATATATATATATACACACAGAGAGATATATAGAGAGATAGAGATGATAGATAGATATCGTTATATATAGGGGTATACATAGTTATATATAGGGGTATACATAGTTATATATAGGGGTATACATAGTTATATATAGGGGTATACATAGTTATATATAGGGGTATACATAGTTTTATATATATATATAGTTGTTGTTGTTGTTATCGAGGTAGAACTGACTCAGAGCTTACTCTCTAGAGCATTTTCAGAGACAGTAAATGGCACAGGAAGAGACTACTCATGTTTCTCCCTCAAAGTAACTGGTGGATTCAAACCTTGTGCCTTTGCATTGTTAGCACAACTCCTTAGCACTAAGCCACCAGAGCGCCTGTATATATTGTTGTTAGGTATCATCAAGCATGACCCATATGAACAACACATCTGAATCCTGTCCTAGCCTGTGCCATCCTCACAGTCTGTGACACACTCAAGCCCATTGCCACTTTCTGTGTGTCAATCCACCTCCTGGTTGAGGGTCTTCCTCTCTTTCACCATACCTCCACCTTTCTAAGTATCATGGCCCTTTTCAAGAAATAGCCTCTCCTAGAACATGCCCAAAGCATGTCTTTCGCTCCAAGGAGCTCTCTGGCTGTACTCTCTCCAAGACATATGTTTGTTCTTCCAGCAGTCCATGGGATCTCCAGTACTCTTCCTCACTTGTTGTTATGTGCCATCGAGTTGCCTGTGACTCTTAGTGACGCTGTGTACATCAGCTCTTAAACCTGCCCTATCTTGAGCCAGTCTCACTGATTCTGACACACCTACCCCCATTGCCCCAGTTGTCATGTCACTCCATCTCATCCAGGGTGTTCCTCTCCTTCACTGTCCCTCCACCCTTCAAAGTCTGATGTCCTTCTCCAAGGACTGGTCCTTGCTGTCCAGTGCCCAAAGTATGTGAGATGAAGCTTCAGAATCCTAGCCTTCAAGAAGAAACTTGATTTCATTCTCTTCAAGAAAGACCTGTTTGTTTTCTTGGCGGTTCATGGTATGTTCAAGACTCTTCTCCAGCCCCACAACTCAGAGGCATCGATTCTTCTTCTGACATCCTTAGTTGTTCCAGCTCTCTAATGCATAACAAATAATTTCAAAGACCATATAATTTCTTTTGTTGTTGCTGAAAATCTACGCTACAGAACTTACACCACTACTTCAATTTCTGCATGTGTAACCCAGGGCTCGGCGGCCAGTCTGCCATACTGGGGTGGCTGGCTTGCTGCTGGGATGCTGGAAGTGGTGCCACCAGTACTTTGCATGGCAGCAGGGTTATCGATGGTGGGTGGATTTCAGCAGAGCTTCCACTAAAACAGACTAGGAAGAAAGATGTGGCTGGGAAAATCGAGTGCTGAAAACCTTCCGAGTAGCAGCAGGATGCTGTCCGATGCGGCACAGGCAGATGAGCCCCTTGGGTTCGAAGGACCTGAAGCCGTGGCTGTACTAGTGGCCTCAAGCACAGCGTGAGTGTGAGGCTGGTGCAGGACCAGCCAGTGTGTGCTCAGGTGCACACGGAGTCACTGTGAGGCCACTTGATGTTGCCTAGCAAGAATTCAGTGTCATCTGTTACATCCTTCGAGTTGGGAAACCCTTTCCACCCTCTTTTGACGAATTAGTCTTCTTGTTAATATCTGCTCCCTGCTCCTTAGACACCTGATCTTTCAAGTTGCTATTGCCAATCTGACCCCATTCTCATAGTTCTTTAAAAAGCGCAAGGCTGAAGAGAGGGATGTTCCTGAGGAAGGTGTTTTGAAAGGAGAGGACTGCTCAGTAAGGCGCAGAGGTGGGGGCTCTTGCCCATATCTGGACCTCACCTTCTCCGCAGGTGGTTGATCAGATGCTACAGCAAACCAGCAGTGGCAGCTTCGCAGGCAACGAGGGCTTTGCCTTCCTGACTCTGCCGTCCCTGCCACTGGGGGGCATCGGTGAGTTCCTGCAGTCCTTCAATCCCATTTCGTCTCTGCCTATAGCTCAGCCTTGATCTAGGCTCCTAGGCTCTTTAGTCTCAGTCTCCCTGCCTGTAATATGACTCTCAGACCCACAGGCTCTCTCCAAGGTCCTGCCACACTGGGGCTTCGTCTGGGCCAAGCCTGCTACTGAGCTGGTGGTTGGGAGGGAACACAGGGGATGACTAGAGGATCTGACCCTGACCCTCACCAGTGGTTTTTCTGCAGGCAACAGTGGGATGGGCAGGTACCACGGCAAGTTCTCCTTCGACACCTTCTCCCACTACCGTTCCTGCGTGCTTGCAAACCCCGGCTTGGAGAAGCTCAATGACATACGCTACCCACCCTATTCTGAAAGGAAGAAGCAGTTCATCACCTGGGCGCTGGGCTTCCAGAACTGTACCCTTCTGTGAGCCAGGGATTGTTCCTACACACTTCTCTGCCGTGCTGACCACAGCTGCCCCTCCCTGGCTGAACCTGGGCTGCCAGGACCTCCTCCTGGGTCCCTGAGAGATAGAGGTGCTGTCTGTCCAGTTGAATAAACACTCCACTCCTGTCTGAACAGACTCCAAGCTGGAAAATACCTCTGGGCAGTTGGTGTAGACCCTTTAAGATTTGCTGACCCCCCCCCGCCTCAAATCCGTAGCTATGCCTTGTGGTGGCGGATCCCAGGTGCAAAGTTGGACAGCTTCTAGAGTTAGAAAGGACTCTTTTCTGCCAAATCTATAAGCTCCAGAAACATTTAGATCTAACAGCTCTGTTCACACCTGGTTTGGAAAACCGGAGATGTCCTACCTGAAGGGATCTGATCTTAAACCAGATCTAGTCAACTGGTGGTGTCTGCCTCACTGGCAAGGATCCTGATGCTGTGCCTGGATCAATCAGGAGGAGTGTAGTGGTTGATTGGTGATGTCTGCTAGCGGCACAGCAGGATACTCGTGCATGGTGACTACATCTGTCATCCTGCTTTAGATATCCAGGGTAAGGTTGCACCTGACAGGATCCAAGTCTGGCCTTGTCTCCTGGCATCTAGTCAGAGGACACTGCTGCCCGAGTGCATGTCACAGAGCAGGACAGAGGAGCTAAGTGAAAGGGAACTTTACGGTGTGGGGTAGGGGCTCAGAAGACAGAGTGCAGCTGATTTGTAGTGGCCAGCCTCTTTCCCTCAACCTTCCCCTGGAACCCTGCTCCCAACCCCTCTACTCTTGTTATAATAGGTCCCTAACCCTTTCAGAGCCATGGAGGGACAGGACGAGTGGTCTGAGGTTGAGAAAGCAGTGAGAAATACGGTTTTTCTGCTCCCCCAGGAACTATGGGAGATTTGTGACTCCAGAGGGTACAAGGTGGTGCTTAACAAGGACTTGCTGATGAATGAAGGATAGAATGAGTAAGTGAGGTGGTGGCTGGATGCATAGATAAATGGATGGTTAAATAGATATGAATATGTATGATTAGGAAGCTCTGGTGGCTTAGTGGTCAGTTATTGCTCCTCTCAATACCCACTGGAGGGTCAGCAATGAGTCAGATCCAACTTGACAGTACACAGCAACAACTTACATGACTGGATGGTTAGAAGGGAGAATAGGGGCATACATGTATGTATATATGCATGGTTGGATGGGTGAGTGAGTGAGTGAGTTAACGGATGAGTGGGTTAGTGACTGAGTGGATGATGAGAGTAGCTTACTGGATGAATGTAGGGATGGATGGACGGATATATGGTGAATGGATGATGACTAGATGAATAGGTGATGAGTGTGAATCAATGGATTAGAAAATAAGTGGAAAGTACTGTGCTATCATGGGTCTGTTTTTCAAAATGACTTTTCCTAGGCCGTTGCTTTTGACATTTGCCACATGGTTACATGGGAACATGCAAATAGGGTGTGTTGATCTATCCATGATGGACTTAGTAAGTGTGGCCATTCCACCAGATTTCAACTGAGCAGGTTCAATGGCAGAAATGGGAAATATATGGCCAGCAAAGAAGACACAGAGAATGCAACACATGTCCTCTGAGGCCAAGGATTCCTTCACTCAGTCTGGGGCCTACAGAAGAGCAGCATCAGAGAGTCAGAGATCGACATGAGACAGAGCTGACCTCAGGCTGCTTCCCCAGGGAGACAGAGCCAGGAGGCTTCACGCTTGCTGGAGGTCTTGGAGGGGGAGCATAATGGCAGAACAAAGAGAGCTTTGTAACACTGGCCTAAAACTGCAAGACCAAAAGCTGAAGTGCTTGCAAGCACACTTTAGAAGCTGTCCTGACTGAGAAATTGTATACTGTTGCCAACTTGAATTGTAACCTGTTAACTTCTTCCCTAATAAATCCTATCATCATGAGGATGTTACTATGAGGTCTGTGTTGCTATTGTAAGGGACTTTGAACCCAGTAGAGCAGTATACTGGTGTTTGAATTAGTAGAAGTGCAGGAGCATGGGAGGGACATGTCTGACTTCATGGGAATTGGTTTTGTGTTGTGAATGTTCTTGATGGGGACAGTTCTCTCTTGCAGCATTAGCAGAGGTCAGATACCATTGCCCCAGCCTTCACTCTTTACAAATAAATAGCTAAGTGGGTGGGTAAGTGTATGAGCTTGAGGAAAGATAGTTGGGTGGATGGATGGATGAATAGATAAATGTATGCATGATTGGTTGGATGGATGGATATAAAAGAATAGATAGTGGGTGGGTTAGTGAATGGATGGATAGATTGATGAATCAGTAGATGCATAAATGGATGGATGAGAGAGTAAGTGACTAGGTGGATCAGAAGATGGGTGGATGATTGAAATAGTAAGTTGGAGATACATAGGTAAGTGGGCAGATGAGTGAATGTATGAATGATGGGTGGGTCTGAGAGTCTGAGTGGACTGATTGGTAGGTAGGTGATCTAGGTAAAACCTGAGTGATCAGTGGGTCTGCATCTAAGGAATTCTTTCTCTACCCACTCTTCCCTGAGAAATGGCTTCCTTAAAATAGCTATTGGACTAAAAAGAGAGAAATGTATTGAGAAAGAATTAGAGGCTCATTGGTCAGTGGATTCAGTGACCAAAGCACAGAAGACGCAGCCCACCATTGGCTGCTGTTCGTGTACAGTCAACATGTCGTTTAATGTCTGCAATTCAGGGTTTAGACATTGTGCAAACATGCCTGACCACAAGTAGTAGCATTTACTGAGTCTCCACCTTCATGTCGCCCACTTCCAAATTGCTATTTCTCTTTGCTGCTTATTGCTGCTATCATTTGGATGAGTTTTGCAGTGTTTGAGAGCCATGATGCATTTTATGGTAATATTTTCAAAAGAAAAGTAAACTGAGTGATAATACTACAGCCCTCAAGAAACGTGTGACACACAAGATTGATGCAGCTGCCTAGGAATAGATCCATTGTTGGGGGTTTTATCTGTAGATATGATAATTTCACACTAAAACAATGACGGGGAAAAATAAAAATCATAAAATTAAATTTTAAAAAGTGAGCTCTGGTGGCCTAGTGGTAAGAAGTTGTACTATAATCCTAAAGACACATGGTTTGAATCCACCAGAGGCTCTACTGGAGAAAGTGGGGCAATCTCCTTCTATACCAGTTGGATCAGATTCGATGGTACACACACACACATACAAAATAGTAAAAGAAAAAATAATTTAAAAACAATGATAGGAAAAGCTGTATGGGGCATGGATAAGCATTTATTATGATTATCAAGACATATATAAGTTATGTATCTACTGGACTGATATACACTGGCAGTATTATCACTTTATATGCCCCTCTGGACAACATGCCCACAGTATGTCCTTGAAAAAAGACGTCATGCTGGGAAAGGCGAAGAGTCAGCAGAAGAGAGGCCGACCTTCAGCGAGACAGATTGAAGCAGTGACTGCAGCAATGGACTTGAGTGTGGTGGGGATCATGGATGGTGCAGGACAAGGTTTTGATCGATAGTCATAGGGTCCCTCATGTTAGAGTAGCTGGAGTTCCCTGGACCTCATGCTATAGTATTGAGAGGTCCCTGAGCCTCACATGAGAGAACTGGAGTTTCTCCTGGTCTGTTAACTAAGTGTGAACTAGATAGGTTGCTTCCTGAAAGTGAATGGAGTGAAAGCGAAGAAAGAACATACAACATGGGCAGAGAATAGTTAAAAACAGAGTCAACGTTATGAAGTAGGAAAGATACACAGAGTAAACATTATTCATTAAGAAAGACACCCCCAAGAGAGGAGGGTGAATCTATCAAGAGGAAGAGGGGTGAGAACAGACGCCGCTTCTCCTTTGTTTACTGGTTACACAGCCTTCATTCCTCCTGCGCTCTTCTGAATGCCCACACTCTGCAGAGATGGGTCTTTGCTACTTCATTAGTTCTTGCCAAACAGGTCCATTGTTGGCATCTGCTGATTTGTCCTATTCTGCTTGGATTCCATCCTCTGATATCTTATGGGCAAAAGGAGGACGCATCACACTTCAAGGTTGGATCTTTCTTGGTGATAGAATTGCTCTACCCGAATCCCAGTCTACCCCTGTCCTCACCGATACCCATAATTCACTCCATATTGGACCTGAAGCCCTCCTCCGCTTCCTCCAACCTCTATTTTATACTCCTTCTCTTGCCGCAAAAATACAACCAATCCACTCCCGCTGCTCCATCTACTCTAAAGTTTCACCCCAGGGTGGCCTCCAGCCCCAGTTCCCTACCTAATGAAACGCCATCTACCTGGTCTCAACCGGCAAATTGACTTCACGTGCCTAGACACAAAAAGGAGCAGCAGCATCTCCTAACCATGGTAGACACCTTTTCAGGATGCTCTGAAGCATTCCCACTGCCCAGGAAACTGCTGATGTAGTCACATCAACTTTAGTTGAAGAGCTCCTCCCTCGCTTTGGCTTCCCCACCCATATCCAATCTGACAATGGCCCAGCTTTTGTCTCACAGGTTGTCCAGCAAGTGTCAACAGCACTCAACATCATCTGGAAACTACACATACTGTACCATCCCCAACCCTCTGGAAAAGTCGGATGAGCAAACGGCCTTCTCAAGGACCAGCTGACCAAACTCAGCCTTGAGGTAAAGCTCTCCTGGCCTACACTGCTTCCTTTGGCTCTCACTTGCCTGCGTGCTGTTCCATGTTCACCTTCAGGGCTAAGCCCCTTTGAGATTGTTATGACTGCCTCTTCCTTTTAACCCATAGCTTTCCACAGGAACCTCCTCCACTAGCATCTTATCTACCCTTCCTCACCTTACAGGGGCAGCTCCTGTGGAAGCACGCCAACAGGTCCCTTCCCTCTATCACCTCATCCTCCAATTCGACACCTTCTCCTCGTTTACAGCCTGATGACTTGGTCTTTCTTAAAAACCTCCACCCTAGTTCCCTTCACCCTCGCTGGTCTGGCCCACATATAGTCATCCCAACAACTGC